CTAATCAGTCAAATCAATGATAGATTAAATCAACAATCATTGGAATCATCAATTTTAGCTGAATGTCATGTATATCAATAAGTTGATTCAAAAACTAGGTTTTTATGTAAAGAGAAGTTTGGTGGTTAATAGTGAGTATTACAGTGTATATATATTAAAAATGATCTTAACCCTCTTTTTATATACTCAATGAAGTTGCACTTATCTCAACTAAAACATATGGAATTTGATTGCAATGTACTTGACAGCTTACCCTTTCACCACCAGACTTTCTCACTAAAATTTGTCTCCACATTTTTCTCATATTCTTCAATATTTCTATAAAAGAATCCTAATTTTGGAGCCAACAGACAAAATTTGAGTCAGTTTTCAGTTTTTACCCAAAAAATTCAGCTATTTTTGTCCCAATCTTCTGAAGGAAAGTGCAGACTATAAACAGAACTATTTTGTGATGAAAAGAGTGAACTGGTGGTGAAAAGGTTAAAAGCAAAAAATGTGTGCCTTGCCTGTTACATGTATGTGACATATATTTATGTGTATTCACAGATGTTAATGAATGTGCTAGTCTGCCTTGTCAGAATGGTGCTACGTGTATTAATGGTATCAACGAGTACACCTGTGTATGTCGCCTTGGTTACAATGGTGTCAATTGTGACAATGGTAAGATGCAATTTAATCTTGTTGATATCAGTCAACTTTTGTCACCTTGACAAATAATTCCTTATTTTTTCAAAAAAAAAATATTTTTTAAGCAAAATTATAGTTAAATTAAAGCAAAAAGTGTAATTATATCTGTTTGGTTAACCTTATAGCCATTTACATGAAAATGTGCAAAAAATGTTACCAATTTTTTAGCAAGAAAAATTGTGACTATGGGTTAATATTTCATGAATTATGATTATACATACATGTATGTTAAACATGTTTTTTTCGATACCAGCTGCTGTATTGGAGCCTTGTCAAAAGCTATCATAACAAATATTATGTAGAACATTTCTCATGCTGCAGTACTCGTTATATGTATTCGATAATATTGCTATGGTTTCTTGATTCTCCATCGTTATCTCTTCCAGAAATTGATGAATGTATCAGCAATCCCTGTCAAAATGACGGGACATGTGGCAATGATATCAACAAGTATTCGTGTCAGTGCGTATCTGGATGGACAGGTTACAACTGTGAAATTGGTAAGTAAATGTCATAATATATAAACACTTTATTTTTTCTAATTATGTAAAAAAGTTTGAAAGTGAATTTTGTACAATAAAAATGTCATGTAAAAGAGATAGAGGTTTTGCATATAAGTCTGTGTCATGTAAACAACCATACCATACCTAATTTATTTGCATTCTTTATATGATAAAGCGAGGAAGTCGTCATCTGCGCATGCGTCAGATGGCCATAGCATCATTGTTTACAAACAAGCGTCTATCCTATCATCGCTTGGAACTCAATTCCCACATGTGCGTAGGTGGCGACCCTTCCGCTTTAATATCCTTCAACCCATTCCATAAGGGATTTGATTATGTTGGCAACATAATGATATTGAATGTTTGTTTTATTATACAGACGTGAATGAATGTTCCAGTAATCCATGTCAGAATGGTGGGCAGTGTAACAATTTACTGAATATGTACACCTGCAATTGTCCAGCGGGATGGGCTGGATTCAACTGTGCTAATGGTAAGATAACAATAGATATCTTAATTTTTCATCAAATTTTGATTTTGTTCAACAAAGTAAGAATTTTTCATTACAAATTGAACTTGGCAATTTTAGGTCAATAATAACATTGTTTAGTGGCAATCAAATCTACCCATGAATTTATCAAAATCTGCTACAATTATTCAGTTTATATCTTAACTTTTGTTATAAATTACATTAGCGTACATGTATGTATGATTAATTAACTTTTTGAATGCGAAAGTAAAATATTTTCAAATTTTCCTCCTATTATTTAACCCAATGGGGGAATTACGTCAGTGTGGACAAAAATTAACAAAGAAATTATGGAAAAATACATAAAATGTGCAAATTGTAGCCTCAATATTTTGCGAATAGTTAATTAGCTTTGCCTATAATGAGAATTGTAAAGTGTAGTAGTTACCACATCTGTTTCTATAATTTTTTTCTATGTGTTCATGATAATTCAAGTCATTTGTGGCCAATCTTTTTAAGTTTAAGTTTGTGTTTTTAGATATCAACGAATGCGATAGCAGTCCATGTGCTAATGGTGGAACTTGTCTGAATGATGTAAATGGTTATAGATGTCTATGTACACCTGGATGGCAAGGAATTCACTGCTCTATTGGTAAGTGTACAACCTTGACTGGGTTTTACATCTGATTAAAGATTCACACTTGAAATAGATAATTATCAATTGTGGTGAAACATTTTAAATTTTCCTCACTTTATGAATTGGCAGAAAGTACACCTACAGTGCTAAAATGTCTTCTTATAATATTCCTACATCTAAAATTAGCAAAAGTACATATTATCTATCTTTTTACAGTATATTTATCAATATTAGAAACTTTTTAATTCATCACTTTTATCTATTTGAGATAAAAAAATGTCTTGCCCTCTGTGCTTGATGTTAAACTACATGTTAAAATATAAAAAGTTATAATGGATGTTATTTTAAATTAATATTTTCTTTTTCAGATATTAACGAGTGTTCAAGCAACCCATGCAAGAATGGAGCAACATGTGATAATTTAGTTGCTCTGTATGAATGTGTGTGTCCCATCGGATATAACGGTGTAAACTGTGAATTTGGTAAGTTCTTAATTACTTATTTTGAATATCTGACGTCAATTTGGCCCAGCAATGCATTCATTTATCTCTGATTGTTGACAATTTTGTTCATTTATCTAAATGAAATGTGTTATACAGTTATTGTTTGATCAAGTATTATATGTGAAAGTATTTACATTCAAAGATAATAATATAATATTGTTTTTCTACTTTAAGACATAAATGAATGTGCGAGTACACCTTGTTTGAACGGTGGTATTTGCTTCAATGAACTAAATAGCTACAGATGTGTGTGTCCCTCTGGTTTTGATGGAACCCACTGTGAAATAGGTAAGTCATGTTTACATAGATTTTTATCGTAAACTTAAATCTATCTTCACTATCAAAATTTTTATTTTCAACAAGTTTTAAAAACAAATTTTTAAAAGTTGTCTAATTTTATCTTGTCAAAATATCCTACACATACAAACTTATTGATTACTGTAAATTACTTTATTTTAGCTAGAATTAATTTTCACTGAAAAGACTTTTTGGGTATTTTGTATGGAATTTATTTTCACTGATATTTCATGAGTTGAATGTGAAATATAGAAAAAAAAGTATATTCGCTGGATTTTATTTTCACTGAAGCATCTCTTCAGCAAAAATAGCAAAAATAAATTCCAAGTGAAAATAAAGTATTCTACAGTAGAGGAAACCCATTCTTGATACCTTCTGTCACGAATGTCAAACATTAAATTATGTTGTATGTCGTGATGGTGGTGTTTTGTGTTTGTCTTATGGCGATGGGCAATGTTGTTTTTGGCGATAGATAATTGTTAAATATAAAGTGGCAAGATGTTTCTTTTAGTCAGTACTGGAGAAGCAGACTTTGATAGAACCCGATCTGAACCCAACTAGCACCTTGTAACACCTCCACAGATGAATGTTTGAGCTATAATCAAACGATTATGACTGTATATTTTTCACATTTGTATTTCTGCTGTATATGTCAAATATTAATCTTCACTGAGTTTATAAGAAATAATGATGTGGGAGTTTTTGATGTGCATTAAACATTATGATACTGTAGAGCTCTTAGTTTTTCCCCAAAAATGGTTAAATACTAAAACTAAATTCCTAGCAGCTTATTAGAAAAGTCATTAACCTTTTGACCTGCCAACATGTTGGTGTAACATTATGCCTATATTTATGTATTATTTTATAATACATGTATTATTATTATACATCTTTGCCTTCCAAGGATACATCATGGTAATGCCAAAATCCAAAAAGTTCAGAACAGAATCAGTGAACTTCTTTGTATGGAGTCCGGTCAAACCCTAGTGGCAGCCATGTTTGCTTTTATTATTAGAGGATGCTTACACGCGTTCCACACTGCAAAATTACTGCACACTGTAACTTATGGCGTTACGATGAAAGATGTATAATCATATTATTTAATAATTTTATACCAAATGAACATAATTTCCTATAGGCTATAGGTCTTGGTTAAAAGTTTGGTAATATGAAAATGATGATTTGGGGTTATATTTTGTGAATGACAACAATAGTTGCTCAAAGGATTAAACAAAAACTTATTTTCTTTGATAATATTTACTAAAATATAAGAATTCCCAAATTCTTTCTGCATCATTTAATATATGTATACCTAATTTTATTTTTTGTTATTGACAATATTAGAATTATTGGAATGTTCAACCCAGCCATGTTTGAATGGTGGTACCTGTATTGATGGTATTGACGGTTTCACTTGCTCCTGTGCTTTGGGATGGAAAGGCTTTACCTGTGAAACTAACATCAATGAATGTGAAAGTGAACCTTGTCTCAATGGTGGATTATGTTTTGATGAAATCAATTCATTCAACTGTATATGTAGAGCTGGATTTACAGGGGCAACCTGTCTCTTTGGTGAGTTTAGCGTTTTGTTTGATACACATTTATTGCCATGGGGCCATTGCACAGCAAATTTTTAGTTAACATTCACCTATCCTTAAACAAAAGTTTACAAATGCGGAAAAAAATATAAGAAACATTAAAAACAACTCAGTCGATTTCCCCCCACAGTGATTGAAATTACACTTCAACCCTACTCTCTATTTCCTACCCTCTCTTCTTACCCCTATTCCCAACCCCCTATTCCCTATTGAAAAATCCAGTCTTATAATATTACCACTTGTCAAAATAGAACTTAAGTTTTTATTGTGGATGCCTGGAATTGCATTGCATAAACTCTTTCAATGATTGTTGTTTTAGATATCGATGAATGTAGAAGTAATCCTTGTCTAAACGGTGCTGAGTGTCACGATGACGTCAATGGTTATACTTGTGTATGTGAAGCTGGATGGACAGGTTTCCATTGTGAAACAGGTAAA